TCATTTTTTAGTCCATGTATTGCAAAAATACCCTTGTTGGCCCTTAAAATTTAAAATTAAACTCCTTTTTACCCCTATCTCCTTCCCTTTTCTATCTTATCCTTTCCTACCTCCGGCTTCTTTTTTTTTTTTTTTTTAACCTCTGCAAATCTGCAGATCTGCAGAACCCAAAAGCTGGGTCGTGGAACCCAACAGTTGGGTTCTACAGAACCCAGAAGTTGGGTCACAGAACCCAGCAACTGGGTTCCTCGCATAACCCAGAAGCTGGGTTCCTTGTAGAACCCAGCAACTAGGTTCCTCGCATAACCCAGAAGCTGGGTTCCTTGTAGAACCCAGCAACCATCCATGGCCCTTTTTTTTTTTTTCACCTCTGCAGATCTGCAAAAGCTGGGTTCTGCAGAACCCAGAAGCTGGGTCGTAGAACCCAGAAGCTGGGTCGCAGAACCCAGCAACTGGGTTCCTCGCATAACCCACCTACCTCCAGCTTTATTTTTTTTTTTTTTTTACCTCTGCAGATCTGCAGAAGCTGGGTTCTGCAGAACCCAGAAGCTGGGTCGCAGAACCCAGCAACTGGGTTCCTCGCATAACCCAGAAGCTGGGTTCCTTGTAGAACCCAGCAACCATCCATGGCCCTTTTTTTTTTTTCCTCTGCAGATCTGCAACAGCTAGGTTCTGCAGAACCCAAAAGTTGGGTCGTGGAACCCAACAGCTGGGTTCTATAGAACCCAGAAGTTGGGTCGCAGAACCCAGCAACTGGGTTCCTCGCATAACCCAGAAGTTGGGTTCCTTGTAGAACCTAGCAACCATCCATGGCCCTTTTTTTTTTTTCACCTCTGCAGATCTGCAACAGCTAGGTTTTGCAGAACCCAGTAGCTAGGTCACGGAACCCTAGCAGCTGGGTTCCTCGCAGAACCTAGAAACTGGGTTCCTCGTAGAACCTAGAAACTGGGTTCCTCGCAGAACCTAGAAACTAGGTTCCTTGTAGAACCTAGCAATCATCCATGCAATATACATGTTCTGGCAGTTTCGCCATTGTAGACAATGATTGCGTTTTGATTTCACCAATTTACAAAGACTAAAGAGACAAAATTTGCAACAAATCCACAGCT